GTTTCGGCGGGAAAAGATTTTAAAATACCTTTCCTGAGCCGGAATTTGATCAGCACAATTTTTTCGTCTTCCGTTTATGAAGTTCTCCACATAAAATAAGTATTTTAGAAAGGGGGGCGTTCGCGTAAGAAAACAAACGGGAAACGCCGTATGTGAAACAAGCGAAATTTATGATTAAACATTTGTCATTACTTAGGATCAACTTCTCCACACTTTTTCCCACATTCAACTTCGCGAGTTAGTCTACTTATAGTACGTTCCTTTTCTTTAATGCAGTGGATAAACAGACCATGAAGTTCCAAACTGCTCTTGGTCTGAAGTTGGAGAATTTTCTTTATTGGTCATTGACCTTGGGGACATTTAACAGCCTGATTTTAAGACTGGATTGGAAATAGCTTGAATTACGTAACCTTGCCTGCGAAAGAAACACGACCTGATGGAATTACTAATCGTCAATAGGCCGGGCAAACAATGTTTGTTTGGTTCATCTTGTCAAGTGACTTTTGGGTCAAGTTGGAAACTGATGGACATCTCCTGGAAATGTCCCTGGGACTCTTGTGATGTCTCAAGTAAGAGGATGTAAGTATATTTCATTCTGGAAAAAAGTCTTTTAGCTGCCTTAGGACACGAAGGATATCACCTTGTTTTGATCCTTCAGGCTGATGTTACGATTCTATCACAAGTTTTCGGTCGCATCGGTAGCAGTTTAGTATGATTTACCGTGCTACTTGCAGATTTCCTATTGCAGTTATAAGGGTACCAGATTCAGACTAGGGTACTGTAGTTGCCTAGTTAGAGAAGAACGCTTTTTCTTGTTGTCGAAGGGTCACATTGCTGGCTCCAAATCTATTAAATACGTCTCTTACTGGAATCAGACCCTTCAACAATCACAAAAACGCAGTTTTTATTGTGCAATCAAAGACGACTATAGCCCCTCGCCGTACCTAGCTTTAACAAGAAAAAACCCTTCGAGAAAAGCATTAGTTAGATTTAGAATAAGTAGTCATCAACTTAGAATTGAAACAGGTAGATACGAAAACATTCCTCGCAATGAAAGGATATGTCACTTTTGTACAAGTAACAAAATCGAAGATGAAAATCATTTCTTACTAGATTGTAAGGCTTATTCTCAGATCAGAGACATATTTTTCTCCAAACTACAAACTAAAATACCTGACTTCAAATCACTTTCACACGATACTTTAATATCTCTTCTTATGAATTCTTCTGATTATTTAATTAACTGTCAATTAGTTTCATCTATCTCGCAATGCTTTGAATTAAGAACCAAATTAATATCAATGAATGAATGAATGAATGAATGAGAACTGTAACGTTTTGTAATGTTTTGCACGTACTAATTAGTTGAATTAGTACTTAATTTTAGACTAATAGCTTTTGCAATACTGTAATTCCTTTATGGTCACGCAAATAAAGCTTTTGGTGTTGTTGTTATTAAAAGGGACATAACCTTCGCGTTTTCCATTTATAAGATCACTTTTGCTTGTTGCAGGAACACTTGTAAATGGCGTGAGATTAACATGCACATTCTCCATACTCATTCCTTTACCGTTCATCTGGCGCTAACGAGGAGAATTTGATTAGAAGTCCCAACGTTTTTCGTTGCTGAGCAGTTTCCTCTATTTTCAGCCTTTTATGATTGATACCGTTCACTGGTGGGATATATAGCGAGAATGTAAATTGATGTTGATCACTTTTAACCGTACAAAAACTGTTTCTTGTGATCACCGACTGAAAGCAAACGCACCGACGGACATTTCAAGTATTTCAATATTATACAAAACTTACAGCTAAAATCAAAATTGCCCGTCGGAAAAACGTCAAAGCGCTAAGTGCTTTTTTAAATGTACTAGTGGTCAGAAAGATACAAGAATCCTGATTAAAAAGAAGCTTTCGCAAAGCCGACAAGGCTACAGTTTCCATTATGTTTGGTAAACTTTGGTTTGTTTTGGTTCTTGGACCTGTGGGACCTCAGGGACCTCTGGGCCGAAGGTTCATGATGTCATTATTTTCAACAGCCAATCAGGGGCAAGAATTTGATTTGCATATGAATAACATACAAAAACCATTGAATTTGTAACCGAGCCGGGATAGCGCAATTGGCATAAGCATTGAATTGGTAATTAACTGGCAAACAAAGAGGTGACGGGTTCGAATCCCGCCTGATTAGCATAAAAAAAAAAAAAAAGAATAAAATCGCGGCTTGGTTCTGGGAGGGCTTGGGGCGAGGAGAGGGAAGAAAAAGGCCTTGGGAAGGGTATGGGAAGCGGGAGTTGGTACACCGGCCCGGGGCGGGCCGGGAGGAGGGCAGGGGAGGGGGGGCAGGCGGGGGGGGGGTAGGTAGATAGGTAGAGGGGTAGGTAGATAGGTAGATAGATAGATAGATAGATAGATAGATAGATAGATAGATAGAGGGATAGATAGAGGGGATAGGATAGATAGGTAGAGGGCGGAGGGGTGGGGGGGAAGGGAAGGGAAGGGGCGGGGGGGGGAGGGGAAGGGAAGGGAAGGGAAGGGGGAAAGGGGGGGTCTAGCCTGCGAGCAAGGTCTCTTGCTGCCGGGATTGGGGGGAGGGTTGGGTGGGGTGGGGCAGTGAGAGACCTTGCTCGCAGGCTAGACCCGGGGAGGGTTTTGCTGCTCAGCACAATTTTTTTTCTTCTTACTTTTATAAAATTCTTGACTCAAAATAAGCACTTTTAGAAAAGGATGCATTCACGTAAGAAAAAAACGGGGAAAAAAGGACGTGTGCGAAGAAACAAGCCAAATTTATGATTAAACATTTGTCATTACTTAGGATCAACTTCTCCACACTTTTTCCCACATTCAGCTTCGCGAGTTAGTCTACTTATAGTACGTTCCTTTTCTTTAATGCAGTGGATAAACAGACCATGAAGTTCCAAACTGCTCTTGGTCTGAAGTTGGAGAATTTTCTTTATTGGTCATTGACCTTGGGGACATTTAACAGCCTGATTTTAAGACTGGATTGGAAATAGCTTGAATTACGTAACCTTGCCTGCGAAAGAAACACGACCTGATGGAATTACTAATCGTCAATAGGCCGGGCAAACAATGTTTGTTTGGTTCATCTTGTCAAGTGACTTTTGGGTCAAGTTGGAAACTGATGGAGATCTCCTGGAAATGTCCCTGGGACTCTTGTGATGTCTCAAGTAAGAGGATGTAAGTATATTTCATTCTGGAAAAAAAGTCTTTTAGCTGCCTTAGGACACCAAGGATATCACCTTGTTTTGATCCTTCAGGCTGATTTCACGATTCTATCACAAGTTTTCGGTCGCATCGGTAGCAGTTTAGTATGATTTACCGTGCTACTTGCAGATTTCCTATTGCAGTTATAAGGGTACCAGATTCAGACTAGGGTACTGTAGTTGCCTAGTTAGAGAAGAACGCTTTTTCTTGTTGTCGAAGGGTCACATTGCTGGCTCCAAATCTATTAAATACGTCTCTTACTGGAATCAGACCCTTCAACAATCACAAAAACGCAGTTTTTATTGTACAATCAAAGACGACTATAGCCCCTCGCCGTACCTAGCTTTAACAAGAAAAAACCCTTCGAGAAAAGCATTAGTTAGATTTAGAATAAGTAGTCATCAACTTAGAATTGAAACAGGTAGATACGAAAACATTCCTCGCAATGAAAGGATATGTCACTTTTTGTACAAGTAACAAAATCGAAGATGAAAATCATTTCTTACTAGATTGTAAGGCTTATTCTCAGATCAGAGACATATTTTTTCCAAACTACAAACTAAAATACCTGACTTCAAATCACTTTCACACGATACTTTAATATCTCTTCTTATGAATTCTTCTGATTATTTAATTAACTGTCAATTAGTTTCATCTATCTCGCAATGCTTTGAATTAAGAACCAAATTAATATCAATGAATGAATGAATGAATGAATGAGAACTGTAACGTTTTGTAATGTTTTGCACGTACTAATTAGTTGAATTAGTACTTAATTTTAGACTAATAGCTTTTGCAATACTGTAATTCCTTTATGGTCACGCAAATAAAGCTTTTGGTGTTGTTGTTATTAAAAGGGACATAACCTTCGCGTTTTCCATTTATAAGATCACTTTTGCTTGTTGCAGGAACACTTGTAAATGGCGTGAGATTAACATGCACATTCTCCATACTCATTCCTTTACCGTTCATCTGGCGCTAACGAGGAGAATTTGATTAGAAGTCCCAACGTTTTTCGTTGCTGAGCAGTTTCCTCTATTTTCAGCCTTTTATGATTGATACCGTTCACTGGTGGGATATATAGCGAGAATGTAAATTGATGTTGATCTGTTGATCACTTTTAACCGTACAAAAACTGTTTCTTGTGATCACCGACTGAAAGCAAACGCACCGACGGACATTTCAAGTATTTCAATATTATACAAAACTTACAGCTAAAATCAAAATTGCCCGTCGGAAAAACGTGAAAGCGCTAAGTGCTTTTTTAAATGTACTAGTGGTCAGAAAGATACAAGAATCCTGATTAAAAAAGAAGCTTTTTAAATGCAAAGCCGACAAGGCTACAGTTTCCATTATGTTTGGTAAACTTTGGTTTGTTTTTGGTTGTTTTGGACCTGTGGGACCTCAGGGACCTCTGGGCCGAAGGTTCATGATGTCATTATTTTCAACAGCCAATCAGGGGCAAGAATTTGATTTGCATATGAATAACATACAAAAAACCATTGAATTTGTAACCGAGCCGGGATAGCACAATTGGCATAAGCATTGAATTGGTAATTAACTGGCAAACAAAGAGGTGACGGGTTCGAATCCCGCCTGATTAGCATAAAAAAGGAAAAAAAAAGAATAAAATCGCGGCTTGGTTCTGGGAGCGGCTTGGCGCGAGGAGAGGGAAGGAAAAAGGCCTTGGGAAGGGTGTGGGAAGCGAGAGTTGGCACACCGGCCCGGGGGCGGGCCGGGAGGAGGGCAGGGAGAGGGGGGCAGGCGGGAGGGGGGTAGGTAGATAGGTAGATAGATAGATAGATAGATAGATAGATAGATAGATAGATAGGTAGATAGGTAGATAGATAGATAGATAGATAGATAGATAGATAGATAGATAGATAGATAGATAGATAGATAGAGGGGAGGGGAAGGGGGGGGGCGGGGGAAGGGGGAAGGGGGAGGGGGAAGGGAAGGGAAGGGGAAAGGGGGGGTCTAGCCTGCGAGCAAGGTCTCTTGCTGCCGGGATTGGGGGGAGGGTTGGGTGGGGTGGGGCAGTGAGAGACCTTGCTCGCAGGCTAGACCCGGGGAGGGTTTTGCTGCTCAGCACAATTTTCTTCTTACTTTTATAAAATTCTTGACTCAAAATAAGCACTTTTAGAAAAGGATGCATTCACGTAAGAAAAAAACGGGGAAAAAAGGACGTGTGCGAAGAAACAAGCGAAATTTATGATTAAACATTTGTCATTACTTAGGATCAACTTCTCCACACTTTTTCCCACATTCAGCTTCGCGAGTTAGTCTACTTATAGTACGTTCCTTTTCTTTAATGCAGTGGATAAACAGACCATGAAGTTCCAAACTGCTCTTCGTCTGAAGTTGGAGAATTTTCTTTATTGGTCATTGACCTTGGGGACATTTAACAGCCTGATTTTAAGACTGGATTGGAAATAGCTTGAATTACGTAACCTTGCCTGCGAAAGAAACACGACCTGATGGAATTACTAATCGTCAATAGGCCGGGCAAACAATGTTTGTTTGGTTCATCTTGTCAAGTGACTTTTGGGTCAAGTTGGAAACTGATGGAGATCTCCTGGAAATGTCCCTGGGACTCTTGTGATGTCTCAAGTAAGAGGATGTAAGTATATTTCATTCTGGAAAAAAGTCTTTTAGCTGCCTTAGGACACGAAGGATATCACCTTGTTTTGATCCTTCAGGCTGATTTCACGATTCTATCACAAGTTTTCGGTCGCATCGGTAGCAGTTTAGTATGATTTACCGTGCTACTTGCAGATTTCCTATTGCAGTTATAAGGGTACCAGATTCAGACTAGGGTACTGTAGTTGCCTAGTTAGAGAAGAACGCTTTTTCTTGTTGTCGAAGGGTCACATTGCTGGCTCCAAATCTATTAAATACGTCTCTTACTGGAATCAGACCCTTCAACAATCACAAAAACGCAGTTTTTATTGTACAATCAAAGACGACTATAGCCCCTCGCCGTACCTAGCTTTAACAAAAAAACCCTTCGAGAAAAGCATTAGTTAGATTTAGAATAAGTAGTCATCAACTTAGAATTGAAACAGGTAGATACGAAAACATTCCTCGCAATGAAAGGATATGTCACTTTTGTACAAGTAACAAAATCGAAGATGAAAATCATTTCTTACTAGATTGTAAGGCTTATTCTCAGATCAGAGACATATTTTTCTCCAAACTAGAAACTAAAATACCTGACTTCAAATCACTTTCACACGATACTTTAATATCTCTTCTTATGAATTCTTCTGATTATTTAATTAACTGTCAATTAGTTTCATCTATCTCGCAATGCTTTGAATTAAGAGCCAAATTAATCAATCAATGAATGAATGAATGAATGAATGAGAACTGTAACGTTTTGTAATGTTTTGCACGTACTAATTAGTTGAATTAGTACTTAATTTTAGACTAATAGCTTTTGCAATACTGTAATTCCTTTATGGTCACGCAAATAAAGCTTTTTTGGTGTTGTTGTTATTAAAAAAGTGACATAACCTTCGCGTTTTCCATTTATAAGATCACTTTTGCTTGTTGCAGGAACACTTGTAAATGGCGTGAGATTAACATGCACATTCTCCATACTCATTCCTTTACCGTTCATCTGGCGCTAACGAGGAGAATTTGATTACAAGAAGATCCCAACGTTTTTCGTTGCTGAGCAGTTTCCTCTATTTTCAGCCTTTTATGATTGATACCGTTCACTGGTGGGATATATAGCGAGAATGTAAATTGATGTTGATCACTTTTAACCGTACAAAAACTGTTTCTTGTGATCACCGACTGAAAGCAAACGCACCGACGGACATTTCAAGTATTTCAATATTATACAAAACTTACAGCTAAAATCAAAATTGCCCGTCGGAAAAACGTCAAAGCGCTAAGTGCGTTTTTTAAATGTACTAGTGGTCAGAAAGATACAAGAATCCTGATTAAAAAGAAGCTTTCGCAAAGCCGACAAGGCTACAGTTTCCATTATGTTTGGTAAACTTTGGTTTGTTTTGGTTCTTGGACCTGTGGGACCTCAGGGACCTCTGGGCCGAAGGTTCATGATGTCATTATTTTCAACAGCCAATCAGGGGCAAGAATTTGATTTGCATATGAATAACATACAAAAAAACCATTGAATTTGTAACCGAGCCGGGATAGCGCAATTGGCATAAGCATTGAATTGGTAATTAACTGGCAAACAAAGAGGTGACGGGTTCGAATCCCGCCTGATTAGCATAAAAAAGGGAAAAAAAGAATAAAATCGCGGCTTGGTTCTGGGAGGGCTTGGGGCGAGGAGAGGGAAGAAAAAAGGCCTTGGGAAGGGTATGGGAAGCGGGAGTTGGTACACCGGCCCGGGGGCGGGCCGGGAGGAGGGCAGGGAGAGGGGGGGGCAGGGGAGGGGGGGGTAGGAGATAGGTAGAGGGGGTAGGATAGATAGGATAGATAGATAGATAGATAGGTAGATAGATAGATAGATAGATAGGTAGATAGATAGGTAGATAGGTAGATAGGTAGATGGGTAGAGGGGATAGGTAGAGGGGGGGGGGAGGGAAGGGGGAGGGGGAGGGGAAGGGAAGGGAAGGGGAAGGGAAGGGAAGGGAAGGGAGGGGGTCTAGCCTGCGAGCAAGGTCTCTTGCTGCCGGGATTGGGGGGAGGGTTGGGTGGGGTGGGGCAGTGAGAGACCTTGCTCGCAGGCTAGACCCGGGGAGGGTTTTGCTGCTCAGCACAATTTTTTTTCTTCTTACTTTTATAAAATTCTTGACTCAAAATAAGCACTTTTAGAAAAGGATGCATTCACGTAAGAAAAAAACGGGGAAAAAAGGACGTGTGCAAAGAAACAAGCGAAATTTATGATTAAACATTTGTCATTACTTAGGATCAACTTCTCCACACTTTTTCCCACATTCAGCTTCGCGAGTTAGTCTACTTATAGTACGTTCCTTTTCTTTAATGCAGTGGATAAACAGACCATGAAGTTCCAAACTGCTCTTGGTCTGAAGTTGGAGAATTTTCTTTATTGGTCATTGACCTTGGGGACATTTAACAGCCTGATTTTAAGACTGGATTGGAAATAGCTTGAATTACGTAACCTTGCCTGCGAAAGAAACACGACCTGATGGAATTACTAATCGTCAATAGGCCGGGCAAACAATGTTTGTTTGGTTCATCTTGTCAAGTGACTTTTGGGTCAAGTTGGAAACTGATGGAGATCTCCTGGAAATGTCCCTGGGACTCTTGTGATGTCTCAAGTAAGAGGATGTAAGTATATTTCATTCTGGAAAAAAGTCTTTTAGCTGCCTTAGGACACGAAGGATATCACCTTGTTTTGATCCTTCAGGCGGATTTCACGATTCTATCACAAGTTTTCGGTCGCATCGGTAGCAGTTTAGTATGATTTACCGTGCTACTTGCAGATTTCCTATTGCAGTTATAAGGGTACCAGATTCAGACTAGGGTACTGTAGTTGCCTAGTTAGAGAAGAACGCTTTTTCTTGTTGTCGAAGGGTCACATTGCTGGCTCCAAATCTATTAAATACCTCTCTTACTGGAATCAGACCCTTCAACAATCACAAAAACGCAGTTTTTATTGTACAATCAAAGACGACTATAGCCCCTCGCCGTACCTAGCTTTAACAAGAAAAAACCCTTCGAGAAAAGCATTAGTTAGATTTAGAATAAGTAGTCATCAACTTAGAATTGAAACAGGTAGATACGAAAACATTCCTCGCAATGAAAGGATATGTCACTTTTGTACAAGTAACAAAATCGAAGATGAAAATCATTTCTTACTAGATTGTAAGGCTTATTCTCAGATCAGAGACATATTTTTCTCCAAACTAGAAACTAAAATACCTGACTTCAAATCACTTTCACACGATACTTTAATATCTCTTCGTATGAATTCTTCTGATTATTTAATTAACTGTCAATTAGTTTCATCTATCTCGCAATGCTTTGAATTAAGAACCAAATTAATATCAATGAATGAATGAATGAATGAATGAATGAATGAGAACTGTAACGTTTTGTAATGTTTTGCACGTACTAATTAGTTGAATTAGTACTTAATTTTAGACTAATAGCTTTTGCAATACTGTAATTCCTTTATGGTCAGGCAAATAAAGCTTTTGGTGTTGTTGTTATTAAAAGTGACATAACCTTCGCGTTTTCCATTTATAAGATCACTTTTGCTTGTTGCAGGAACACTTGTAAATGGCGTGAGATTAACATGCACATTCTCCATACTCATTCCTTTACCGTTCATCTGGCGCTAACGAGGAGAATTTGATTAGAAGTCCCAACGTTTTTCGTTGCTGAGCAGTTTCCTCTATTTTCAGCCTTTTATGATTGATACCGTTCACTGGTGGGATATATAGCGAGAATGTAAATTGATGTTGATCACTTTTAACCGTACAAAAACTGTTTTTGTGATTGTGATCACCGACTGAAAGCAAACGCACCGACGGACATTTCAAGTATTTCAATATTATACAAAACTTACAGCTAAAATCAAAATTGCCCGTCGGAAAAACGTGAAAAAAGCGCAAAGTGCTTTTTAAATGTACTAGTGGTCAGAAAGATACAAGAATCCTGATTAAAAAGAAGCTTTCGCAAAGCCGACAAGGCTACAGTTTCCATTATGTTTGGTAAACTTTGGTTTGTTTTGGTTCTTGGACCTGTGGGACCTCAGGGACCTCTGGGCCGAAGGTTCATGATGTCATTATTTTCAACAGCCAATCAGGGGCAAGAATTTGATTTGCATATGAATAACATAAAAAAAAAACCATTGAATTTGTAACCGAGCCGGGATAGCGCAATTGCCATAAGCATTGAATTGGTAATTAACTGGCAAACAAAGAGGTGACGGGTTCGAATCCCGCCTGATTAGCATAAAAAAGGAAAAAAAAAGAATAAAATCGCGGCTTGGTTCTGGGAGGGCTTGGGGCGAGGAGAGGGAAGAAAAAAGGCCTTGGGAAGGGTATGGGAAGCGGGAGTTGGTACACCGGCCGGGGGCGGGGGAGGGGAGGAGGAGGGCAGGGAGGGGGGGCAGGCAGGGGGGGGGTAGGTAGATAGGTAGGGGGTAGGTAGATAGGGTAGATAGATAGATAGATAGATAGATAGATAGATAGATAGATAGATAGATAGATAGATAGATAGATAGGGGGATAGATAGATAGTAGGTAGGAGGGGGGGGTAGGGGAGGGGGGGGGAGGGGGGGAGGGGGGGAAGGGAAGGGGAAGGGAAGGGAAAGGGAAGGGAAGGGGGGGGGTCTAGCCTGCGAGCAAGGTCTCTTGCTGCCGGGATTGGGGGGGAGGGTTGGGTGGGGTGGGGCAGTGAGAGACCTTGCTCGCAGGCTAGACCCGGGGAGGGTTTTGCTGCTCAGCACAATTTTTTTTTTTTCTTCTTACTTTTATAAAATTCTTGACTCAAAATAAGCACTTTTAGAAAAGGATGCATTCACGTAAAAAAAAACGGGAAAAAAGGACGTGTGCAAAGAAACAAGCGAAATTTATGATTAAACATTTGTCATTACTTAGGATCAACTTCTCCACACTTTTTCCCACATTCAGCTTCGCGAGTTAGTCTACTTATAGTACGTTCCTTTTTTTAATGCAGTGGATAAACAGACCATGAAGTTCCAAACTGCTCTTGGTCTGAAGTTGGAGAATTTTCTTTATTGGTCATTGACCTTGGGGACATTTAACAGCCTGATTTTAAGACTGGATTGGAAATAGCTTGAATTACGTAACCTTGCCTGCGAAAGAAACACGACCTGATGGAATTACTAATCGTCAATAGGCCGGGCAAACAATGTTTGTTTGGTTCATCTTGTCAAGTGACTTTTGGGTCAAGTTGGAAACTGATGGAGATCTCCTGGAAATGTCCCTGGGACTCTTGTGATGTCTCAAGTAAGAGGATGTAAGTATATTTCATTCTGGAAAAAAGTCTTTTAGCTGCCTTAGGACACGAAGGATATCACCTTGTTTTGATCCTTCAGGCTGATTTCACGATTCTATCACAAGTTTTCGGTCGCATCGGTAGCAGTTTAGTATGATTTACCGTGCTACTTGCAGATTTCCTATTGCAGTTATAAGGGTACCAGATTCAGACTAGGGTACTGTAGTTGCCTAGTTAGAGAAGAACGCTTTTTCTTGTTGTCGAAGGGTCACATTGCTGGCTCCAAATCTATTAAATACGTCTCTTACTGGAATCAGACCCTTCAACAATCACAAAAACGCAGTTTTTATTGTACAATCAAAGACGACTATAGCCCCTCGCCGTACCTAGCTTTAACAAGAAAAAACCCTTCGAGAAAAGCATTAGTTAGATTTAGAATAAGTAGTCATCAACTTAGAATTGAAACAGGTAGATACGAAAACATTCCTCGCAATGAAAGGATATGTCACTTTTGTACAAGTAACAAAATCGAAGATGAAAATCATTTCTTACTAGATTGTAAGGCTTATTCTCAGATCAGAGACATATTTTTCTCCAAACTAGAAACTAAAATACCTGACTTCAAATCACTTTCACACGATACTTTAATATCTCTTCTTATGAATTCTTCTGATTATTTAATTAACTGTCAATTAGTTTCATCTATCTCGCAATGCTTTGAATTAAGAACCAAATTAATGAATGAATGAATGAATGAATGAATGAATGAGAACTGTAACGTTTTGTAATGTTTTGCACGTACTAATTAGTTGAATTAGTACTTAATTTTAGACTAATAGCTTTTGCAATACTGTAATTCCTTTATGGTCACGCAAATAAAGCTTTTTGGTGTTGTTGTTATTAAAAGTGACATAACCTTCGCGTTTTCCATTTATAAGATCACTTTTGCTTGTTGCAGGAACACTTGTAAATGGCGTGAGATTAACATGCACATTCTCCATACTCATTCCTTTACCGTTCATCTGGCGCTAACGAGGAGAATTTGATTAGAAGTCCCAACGTTTTTCGTTGCTGAGCAGTTTCCTCTATTTTCAGCCTTTTATGATTGATACCGTTCACTGGTGGGATATATAGCGAGAATGTAAATTGATGTTGATCACTTTTAACCGTACAAAAACTGTTTCTTGTGATCACCGACTGAAAGCAAACGCACCGACGGACATTTCAAGTATTTCAATATTATACAAAACTTACAGCTAAAATCAAAATTGCCCGTCGGAAAAACGTCAAAGCGCTAAGTGCTTTTTTAAATGTACTAGTGGTCAGAAAGATACAAGAATCCTGATTAAAAAGAAGCTTTCGCAAAGCCGACAAGGCTACAGTTTCCATTATGTTTGGTAAACTTTGGTTTGTTTTGGTTCTTGGACCTGTGGGACCTCAGGGACCTCTGGGCCGAAGGTTCATGATGTCATTATTTTCAACAGCCAATCAGGGGCAAGAATTTGATTTGCATATGAATAACATAAAAAAACCATTGAATTTGTAACCGAGCCGGGATAGCGCAATTGGCATAAGCATTGAATTGGTAATTAACTGGCAAACAAAGAGGTGACGGGTTCGAATCCCGCCTGATTAGCATAAAAAAAAAAAAAAAAAAGAATAAAATCGCGGCTTGGTTCTGGGAGGGCTTGGGGCGAGGAGAGAGGGAAGAAAAAAGGCCTTGGGAAGGGTATGGGAAGCGGGAGTTTGGTACACCGGCCCGGGGGCGGGGCAGGGAGGGCAGGGGGGGGGGGGGCAGGCGGGGGGGGGTAGGTAGATAGGTAGAGGGGTAGGGATAGATAGATAGATAGATAGATAGATAGATAGATAGATAGATAGATAGATAGATAGATAGATAGATAGATAGATAGATAGATAGATAGATAGATAGGTAGATAGGTAGAGGTAGATAGGTAGAGGGGGGGGGGGAGGGGGAGAGGGGATAGGTAGAGGGAGGGGGGGGGGGGGGGGAAGGGAAGGGGAAAGGGAAGGGGAAAGGGAGGGGGGTCTAGCCTGCGAGCAAGGTCTCTTGCTGCCGGGATTGGGGGGAGGGTTGGGTGGGGTGGGGCAGTGAGAGACCTTGCTCGCAGGCTAGACCCGGGGAGGGTTTTGCTGCTCAGCACAATTTTTTTTCTTCTTACTTTTATAAAATTCTTGACTCAAAATAAGCACTTTTAGAAAAGGATGCATTCACGTAAGAAAAAAACGGGGAAAAAAGGACGTGTGCGAAGAAACAAGCGAAATTTATGATTAAACATTTGTCATTACTTAGGATCAACTTCTCCACACTTTTTCCCACATTCAGCTTCGCGAGTTAGTCTACTTATAGTACGTTCCTTTTCTTTAATGCAGTGGATAAACAGACCATGAAGTTCCAAACTGCTCTTGGTCTGAAGTTGGAGAATTTTCTTTATTGGTCATTGACCTTGGGGACATTTAACAGCCTGATTTTAAGACTGGATTGGAAATAGCTTGAATTACGTAACCTTGCCTGCGAAAGAAACACGACCTGATGGAATTACTAATCGTCAATAGGCCGGGCAAACAATGTTTGTTTGGTTCATCTTGTCAAGTGACTTTTGGGTCAAGTTGGAAACTGATGGAGATCTCCTGGAAATGTCCCTGGGACTCTTGTGATGTCTCAAGTAAGAGGATGTAAGTATATTTCATTCTGGAAAAAAGTCTTTTAGCTGCCTTAGGACACCAAGGATATCACCTTGTTTTGATCCTTCAGGCTGATTTCACGATTCTATCACAAGTTTTCGGTCGCATCGGTAGCAGTTTAGTATGATTTACCGTGCTACTTGCAGATTTCCTATTGCAGTTATAAGGGTACCAGATTCAGACTAGGGTACTGTAGTTGCCTAGTTAGAGAAGAACGCTTTTTCTTGTTGTCGAAGGGTCACATTGCTGGCTCCAAATCTATTAAATACGTCTCTTACTGGAATCAGACCCTTCAACAATCACAAAAAACGCAGTTTTTTTATTGTACAATCAAAGACGACTATAGCCCCTCGCCGTACCTAGCTTTAACAAGAAAAAACCCTTCGAGAAAAGCATTAGTTAGATTTAGAATAAGTAGTCATCAACTTAGAATTGAAACAGGTAGATACGAAAACATTCCTCGCAATGAAAGGATATGTCACTTTTGTACAAGTAACAAAATCGAAGATGAAAATCATTTCTTACTAGATTGTAAGGCTTATTCTCAGATCAGAGACATATTTTTCTCCAAACTAGAAACTAAAATACCTGACTTCAAATCACTTTCACACGATACTTTAATATCTCTTCTTATGAATTCTTCTGATTATTTAATTAACTGTCAATTAGTTTCATCTATCTCGCAATGCTTTGAATTAAGAACCAAATTAATATCAATGAATGAATGAATGAATGAATGAGAACTGTAACGTTTTTTGTAATGTTTTGCACGTACTAATTAGTTGAATTAGTACTTAATTTTAGACTAATAGCTTTTGCAATACTGTAATTCCTTTATGGTCACGCAAATAAAGCTTTTGGTGTTGTTGTTATTAAAAGTGACATAACCTTCGCGTTTTCCATTTATAAGATCACTTTTGCTTGTTGCAGGAACACTTGTAAATGGCGTGAGATTAACATGCACATTCTCCATACTCATTCCTTTACCGTTCATCTGGCGCTAACGAGGAGAATTTGATTAGAAGTCCCAACGTTTTTCGTTGCTGAGCAGTTTCCTCTATTTTCAGCCTTTTATGATTGATACCGTTCACTGGTGGGATATATAGCGAGAATGTAAATTGATGTTGATCACTGTTTTTTAACCGTACAAAAACTGTTTCTTGTGATCACCGACTGAAAGCAAACGCACCGACGGACATTTCAAAGTATTTCAATATTTCAATACAAAACTTACAGCTAAAATCAAAATTGCCCGTCGGAAAAACGTGAAAGCGCTAAGTGCTTTTTTTAAATGTACTAGTGGTCAGAAAGATACAAGAATCCTGATTAAAAAGAAGCTTTCGCAAAGCCGACAAGGCTACAGTTTCCATTATGTTTGGTAAACTTTGGTTTGTTTTGGTTCTTGGACCTGTGGGACCTCAGGGACCTCTGGGCCGAAGGTTCATGATGTCATTATTTTCAACAGCCAATCAGGGGCAAGAATTTGATTTGCATATGAATAACATAAAAAAAAAACCATTGAATTTGTAACCGAGCCGGGATAGCGCAATTGGCATAAGCATTGAATTGGTAATTAACTGGCAAACAAAGAGGTGACGGGTTCGAATCCCGCCTGATTAGCATAAAAAAAAAAAAAAAAGAATAAAATCGCGGCTTGGTTCTGGGAGGGCTGGGGGGGGAGAGGAGAGGGAAAAAAAGGCCTTGGGAAGGGTATGGGAAGGGAGTTGGTACACCGGCCCGGGGGCGGGGCCGGGAGGAGGAGGGCAGGGAGGGGGGGCAGGGGGGGGGGGGATAGGTAGATAGGTAGGATAGGAAAGATAAGGTAGATAGATAGATAGATAGATAGATGGATAGATAGATAGATAGCTAGATAGATAGATAGATAGATAGATAGATAGATAGATAGATAGCTAGATAGGTAGAGGGAGTAGATAGGGGGGGGGGGGGGGGGGGGGAGGGGGGGGGGGGGGAGGGGGGGGGGGGGGGAAGGGGAAGGGAGGGGGGGGGGGTCTAGCCTGCGAGCAAGGTCTCTTGCTGCCGGGATTGGGGGGAGGGTTGGGTGGGGTGGGGCAGTGAGAGACCTTGCTCGCAGGCTAGACCCGGGGAGGGTTTTGCTGCTCAGCACAATTTTTTTTCTTCTTACTTTTATAAAATTCTTGACTCAAAATAAGCACTTTTAGAAAAGGATGCATTCACGTAAGAAAAAAGCGGGAAAAAAAAGGACGTGTGCGAAGAAACAAGCGAAATTTATGATTAAACATTTGTCATTACTTAGGATCAACTTCTCCACACTTTTTCCCACATTCAACTTCGCGAGTTAGTCTACTTATAGTACGTTCCTTTTCTTTAATGCAGTGGATAAACAGACCATGAAGTTCCAAACGGCTCTTCGTCTGAAGTTGGAGAATTTTCTTTATTGGTCATTGACCTTGGGGACATTTAACAGCCTGATTTTAAGACTGGATTGGAAATAGCTTGAATTACGTAACCTTGCCTGCGAAAGAAACACGACCTGATGGAATTACTAATCGTCAATAGGCCGGGCAAACAATGTTTGTTTGGTTCATCTTGTCAAGTGACTTTTGGGTCAAGTTGGAAACTGATGGAGATCTCCTGGAAATGTCCCTGGGACTCTTGTGATGTCTCAAGTAAGAGGATGTAAGTATATTTCATTCTGGAAAAAAGTCTTTTAGCTGCCTTAGGACACGAAGGATATCACCTTGTTTTGATCCTTCAGGCTGATTTCACGATTCTATCACAAGTTTTCGGTCGCATCGGTAGCAGTTTAGTATGATTTACCGTGCTACTTGCAGATTTCCTATTGCAGTTATAAGGGTACCAGATTCAGACTAGGGTACTGTAGTTGCCTAGTTAGAGAAGAACGCTTTTTCTTGTTGTCGAAGGGTCACATTGCTGGCTCCAAATCTATTAAATACGTCTCTTACTGGAATCAGACCCAACAGCAAACAATCACAAAAACGCAGTTTTTATTGTACAATCAAAGACGACTATAGCCCCTCGCCGTACCTAGCTTTAACAAGAAAAAAACCCTTCGAGAAAAGCATTAGTTAGATTTACAATAAGTAGTCATCTACTTAGAATTGAAACAGGTAGATACGAAAACATTCCTCGCAATGAAAGGATATGTCACTTTTGTACAAGTAACAAAATCGAAGATGAAAATCATTTCTTACTAGATTGTAAGGCTTATTCTCAGATCAGAGACATATTTTTCTCCAAACTAGAAACTAAAATACCTGACTTCAAATCACTTTCACACGATACTTTAATATCTCTTCTTATGAATTCTTCTGATTATTTAATTAACTGTCAATTAGTTTCATCTATCTCGCAATGCTTTGAATTAAGAACCAAATTAATATCAATGAATGAATGAATGAATGAATGAGAACTGTAACGTTTTGTAATGTTTTGCACGTACTAATTAGTTGAATTAGTACTTAATTTTAGACTAATAGCTTTTGCAATACTGTAATTCCTTTATGGTCACGCAAATAAAGCTTTTGGTGTTGTTGTTATTAAAAGTGACATAACCTTCGCGTTTTCCATTTATAAGATCACTTTTGCTTGTTGCAGGAACACTTGTAAATGGCGTGAGATTAACATGCACATTCTCCATACTCATTCCTTTACCGTTCATCTGGCGCTAACGAGGAGAATTTGATTAGAAGTCCCAACGTTTTTCGTTGCTGAGCAGTTTCCTCTATTTTCAGCCTTTTATGATTGATACCGTTCACTGGTGGGATATATAGCGAGAATGTAAATTGATGTTGATCACTTTTAACCGTACAAAAACTGTTTCTTGTGATCACCGACTGAAAGCAAACGCACCGACGGACATTTCAAGTATTTCAATATTATACAAAACTTACAGCTAAAATCAAAATTGCCCGTCGGAAAAACGTGAAAGCCGTCGGAAAAAGTGCTTTTTTAAATGTACTAGTGGTCAGAAAGATACAAGAATCCTGATTAAAAAGAAGCTGCAAAGCCGACAAGGCTACAGTTTCCATTATGTTTGGTAAACTTTGGTTTGTTTTGGTTCTTGGACCTGTGGGACCTCAGGGACCTCTGGGCCGAAGGTTCATGATGTCATTATTTTCAACAGCCAATCAGGGGCAAGAATTTGATTTGCATATGAATAACATACAAAAAAAACCATTGAATTTGTAACCGAGCCGGGATAGCGCAATTGGCATAAGCATTGAATTGGTAATTAACTGGCAAACAAAGAGGTGACGGGTTCGAATCCCGCCTGATTAGCATAAAAAAAAAAAAAAAGAATAAAATCGCGGCTTGGTTCTGGGAGGGCTGGGGGGGGAGGAGAGGGAAGAAAAAGGCCTTGGGAAGGGTATGGGAAGCGGGAGTTGGTACACCGGCCGGGGGCGGGAGGGGAGGAGGGCAGGGAGGGGGGGGGCAGGGGGGAGGGGGGTAGGTAGATAGGTAGAGGGGTAGGTAGATAGATAGATAGATAGATAGATAGATAGATAGATAGATAGATAGATAGATAGATAGAGATAGATAGATAGATAGATAGATAGGGGATAGATAGGTAGGGGATAGGTAGATAGGTAGGGGGGTGGGGGGGGGGGATAGGGGGAGGGGGGGGGGGAGGGGAAGGGAAGGGGGAAGGGAAGGGGAAAGGGGAAAGGGAGGGGGTCTAGCCTGCGAGCAAGGTCTCTTGCTGCCGGGATTGGGGGAGGGTTGGGTGGGGTGGGGCAGTGAGAGACCTTGCTCGCAGGCTAGACCCGGGGAGGGTTTTGCTGCTCAGCACAATTTTTTTTTTTCTTCTTACTTTTATAAAATTCTTGACTCAAAATAAGCACTTTTAGAAAAGGATGCATTCACGTAAAAAAAAACGGGGAAAAAAAAGGACGTGTGCGAAGAAACAAGCGAAATTTATGATTAAACATTTGTCATTACTTAGGATCAACTTCTCCACACTTTTTCCCACATTCAGCTTCGCGAGTTAGTCTACTTATAGTACGTTCCTTTTCTTTAATGCAGTGGATAAACAGACCATGAAGTTCCAAACTGCTCTTCGTCTGAAGTTGGAGAATTTTCTTTATTGGTCATTGACCTTGGGGACATTTAACAGCCTGATTTTAAGACTGGATTGGAAATAGCTTGAATTACGTAACCTTGCCTGCGAAAGAAACACGACCTGATGGAATTACTAATCGTCAATAGGCCGGGCAAACAATGTTTGTTTGGTTCATCTTGTCAAGTGACTTTTGGGTCAAGTTGGAAACTGATGGAGATCTCCTGGAAATGTCCCTGGGACTCTTGTGATGTCTCAAGTAAGAGGATGTAAGTATATTTCATTCTGGAAAAAAGTCTTTTAGCTGCCTTAGGACACGAAGGATATCACCTTGTTTTGATCCTTCAGGCTGATTTCACGATTCTATCACAAGTTTTCGGTCGCATCGGTAGCATTTTAGTATGATTTACCGTGCTACTTGCAGATTTCCTATTGCAGTTATAAGGGTACCAGATTCAGACTAGGGTACCGTAGTTGCCTAGTTAGAGAAGAACGCTTTTTCTTGTCGTCGAAGGGTCACATTGCTGGCTCCAAATCTATTAAATACGTCTCTTACTGGAATCAGACCCTTCAACAATCACAAAAAACGCAGTTTTTATTGTACAATCAAAGACGACTATAGCCCCTCGCCGTACCTAGCTTTAACAAGAAAAAACCCTTCGAGAAAAGCATTAGTTAGATTTAGAATAAGTAGTCATCAACTTAGAATTGAAACAGGTAGATACGAAAACATTCCTCGCAATGAAAGGATATGTCACTTTTGTACAAGTAACAAAATCGAAGATGAAAATCATTTCTTACTAGATTGTAAGGCTTATTCTCAGATCAGAGACATATTTTTCTCCAAACTAGAAACTAAAATACCTGACTTCAAATCACTTTCACACGATACTTTAATATCTCTTCTTATGAATTCTTCTGATTATTTAATTAACTGTCAATTAGTTTCATCTATCTCGCAATGCTTTGAATTAAGAACCAAATTAATATCAATGAATGAATGAATGAATGAATGAGAACTGTAACGTTTTGTAATGTTTTGCACGTACTAATTAGTTGAATTAGTACTTAATTTTAGACTAATAGCTTTTGCAATACTGTAATTCCTTTATGGTCAGGCAAATAAAGCTTTTGGTGTTGTTGTTATTAAAAGTGACATAACCTTCGCGTTTTCCATTTATAAGATCACTTTTGCTTGTTGCAGGAACACTTGTAAATGGCGTGAGATTAACATGCACATTCTCCATACTCATTCCTTTACCGTTCATCTGGCGCTAACGAGGAGAATTTGATTAGAAGTCCCAACGTTTTTCGTTGCTGAGCAGTTTCCTCTATTTTCAGCCTTTTATGATTGATACCGTTCACTGGTGGGATATATAGCGAGAATGTAAATTGATGTTGATCACTTTTAACCGTACAAAAACTGTTTCTTGTGATCACCGACTGAAAGCAAACGCACCGACGGACATTTCAAGTATTTCAATATTATACAAAACTTACAGCTAAAATCAAAATTGCCCGTCGGAAAAACGTGAAAGCGCTAAGTGCTTTTTTAAATGTACTAGTGGTCAGAAAGATACAAGAATCCTGATTAAAAAGAAGCTTTCGCAAAGCCGACAAGGCTACAGTTTCCATTATGTTTGGTAAACTTTGGTTTGTTTTGGTTCTTGGACCTGTGGGACCTCAGGGACCTCTGGGCCGAAGGTTCATGATGTCATTATTTTCAACAGCCAATGAGGGGCAAGAATTTGATTTGCATATGAATAACATACAAAAAAACCATTGAATTTGTAACCGAGCCGGGATAGCGCAATTGGCATAAGCATTGAATTGGTAATTAACTGGCAAACAAAGAGGTGACGGGTTCGAATCCCGCCTGATTAGCATAAAAAAGGGAAAAAAAAGAATAAAATCGCGGCTTGGTTCTGGGAGCGGCTTGGGGCGAGGAGAGGGAAGAAAAAAGGCCTTGGGAAGGGTATGGGAAGCGGGAGTTGGTACACCGGCCCGGGGGGGGGGCCAGGAGGAGGGGGGAGGGGGGGCAGGCGGGAGGGGGGGGGTAGATAGGTAGAGGGGTAGGTAGATAGGGATAGATAGATAGATAGATAGATAGATAGATAGATAGATAGATAGATAGATAGATAGATAGATAGATAGATAGATAGATAGATAGATAGATAGGTAGATAGGGGATAGGTAGAGGGGGGGGGGGGAGGGGTAGAGGGCGGAGGGTGGGAGGGGGGAGGGAAGGGAAGGGGAAGGGAAGGGGGGGGGGGGGTCTAGCCTGCGAGCAAGGTCTCTTGCTGCCGGGATTGGGGGGGGGGTTGGGTTGGGTGGGGCAGTGAGAGACCTTCCTCGCAGGCTAGACCCGGGGAGGGTTTTGCTGCTCAGCACATTTTTTTTTCTTCTTACTTTTATAAAATTCTTGACTCAAAATAAGCACTTTTAGAAAAGGATGCATTCATGTAAGGAAAAAACGGGGAAAAAAGGACGTGTGCGAAGAAACAAGCGAAATTTATGATTAAACATTTGTCATTACTTAGGATCAACTTCTCCAAACTTTTTCCCACATTCAGCTTCGCGAGTTAGTCTACTTATAGTACGTTCCTGTTTTTTAATGTCGTGGATAAACAGACCATGAAGTTCCAAACTGCTCTTCGTCTGAAGTTGGAGAATTTTCTTTATTGGTCATTGACCTTGGGGACATTTAACAGCCTGATTTTAAGACTGGATTGGAAATAGCTTGAATTACGTAACCTTGCCTGCGAAAGAAACACGACCTGATGGAATTACTAATCGTCAATAGGCCGGGCAAACAATGTTTGTTTGGTTCATCTTGTCAAGTGACTTTTGGGTCAAGTTGGAAACTGATGGAGATCTCCTGGAAATGTCCCTGGGACTCTTGTGATGTCTCAAGTAAGAGGATGTAAGTATATTTCATTCTGGAAAAAAGTCTTTTAGCTGCCTTAGGACACGAAGGATATCACCTTGTTTTGATCCTTCAGGCTGATTTCACGATTCTATCACAAGTTTTCGGTCGCATCGGTAGCAGTTTAGTATGATTTACCGTGCTACTTGCAGATTTCCTATTGCAGTTATAAGGGTACCAGATTCAGACTAGGGTACTGTAGTTGCCTAGTTAGAGAAGAACGCTTTTTCTTGTTGTCGAAGGGTCACATTGCTGGCTCCAAATCTATTAAATACGTCTCTTACTGGAATCAGACCCTTCAACAATCAATCAAAAACGCAGTTTTTTATTGTACAATCAAAGACGACTATAGCCCCTCGCCGTACCTAGCTTTAACAAGAAAAAACCCTTCGAGAAAAGCATTAGTTAGATTTAGAATAAGTAGTCATCAACTTAGAATTGAAACAGGTAGATACGAAAACATTCCTCGCAATGAAAGGATATGTCACTTTTGTACAAGTAACAAAATCGAAGATGAAAATCATTTCTTACTAGATTGTAAGGCTTATTCTCAGATCAGAGACATATTTTTCTCCAAACTAGAAACTAAAATACCTGACTTCAAATCACTTTCACACGATACTTTAATATCTCTTCTTATGAATTCTTCTGATTATTTAATTAACTGTCAATTAGTTTCATCTATCTCGCAATGCTTTGAATTAAGAACCAAATTAATATCAATGAATGAATGAATGAATGAATGAGAACTGTAACGTTTTGTAATGTTTTGCACGTACTAATTAGTTGAATTAGTACTTAATTTTAGACTAATAGCTTTTGCAATACTGTAATTCCTTTATGGTCATGCAAATAAAGCTTTTGGTGTTGTTGTTATTAAAAGTGACATAACCTTCGCGTTTTCCATTTATAAGATCACTTTTGCTTGTTGCAGGAACACTTGTAAATGGCGTGAGATTAACATGCACATTCTCCATACTCATTCCTTTACCGTTCATCTGGCGCTAACGAGGAGAATTTGATTAGAAGTCCCAACGTTTTTCGTTGCTGAGCAGTTTCCTCTATTTTCAGCCTTTTATGATTGATACCGTTCACTGGTGGGATATATAGCGAGAATGTAAATTGATGTTGATCACTTTTAACCGTACAAAAACTGTTTCTTGTGATCACCGACTGAAAGCAAACGCACCGACGGACATTTCAAGTATTTCAATATTATACAAAACTTACAGCTAAAATCAAAATTGCCCGTCGGAAAAACGTGAAAGCGCTAAGTATTTTTTTAAATGTACTAGTGGTCAGAAAGATACAAGAATCCTGATTAAAAAGAAGCTTTCGCAAAGCAAACAAGGCTACAGTTTCCATTATGTTTGGTAAACTTTGGTTTGTTTTGGTTCTTGGACCTGTGGGACCTCAGGGACCTCTGGGCCGAAGGTTCATGATGTCATTATTTTCAACAGCCAATCAGGGGCAAGAATTTGATTTGCATATGAATAACATACAAAAAAACCATTGAATTTGTAACCGAGCCGGGATAGCGCAATTGGCATAAGCATTGAATTGGTAATTAACTGGCAAACAAAGAGGTGACGGGTTCGAATCCCGCCTGATTAGCATAAAAAAGGAAAAAAAAAGAATAAAATCGCGGCTTGGTTCTGGGAGGGCTTGGGGCGAGGAGAGGGAAGAAAAAAGGCCTTGGGAAGGGTATGGGAAGCGGGAGTTGGTACACCGGCCCGGGGGGGGGGGGAGGAGGGCAGGGAGGGGGGGCAGGGGGGGGGGGTAGATAGATAGAGGGGGGGTAGATAGGTAGATAGGGATAGATAGATAGATAGATAGATAGATAGATAGATAGATAGATAGATAGATAGATATAGGTAGATAGGTAGAGGGTAGAGGGCGGGGGATAGGTAGATAGGGAGGGAGGGGGGAGGGGGGGGGAGGGGGAAGGGAAGGGAAGGGAAGGGGAAGGGGGGGGTCTAGCCTGCGAGCAAGGTCTCTTGCTGCCGGGATTGGGGGAGGGTTGGGTGGGGTGGGGCAGTGAGAGACCTTGCTCGCAGGCTAGACCCGGGGAGGGTTTTGCTGCTCAGCACAATTTTTTTTTCTTCTTACTTTTATAAAATTCTTGACTCAAAATAAGCACTTTTAGAAAAGGATGCATTCACGTAGAAAAAAAACGGGAAAAAAAACGACGTGCGAAGAAACAAGCGAAATTTATGATTAAACATTTGTCATTACTTAGGATCAACTTCTCCACACTTTTTCCCACATTCAACTTCGCGAGTTAGTCTACTTATAGTACGTTCCTTTTCTTTAATGCAGTGGATAAACAGACCATGAAGTTCCAAACGGCTCTTCGTCTGAAGTTGGAGAATTTTCTTTATTGGTCATTGACCTTGGGGACATTTAACAGCCTGATTTTAAGACTGGATTGGAAATAGCTTGAATTACGTAACCTTGCCTGCGAAAGAAACACGACCTGATGGAATTACTAATCGTCAATAGGCCGGGCAAACAATGTTTGTTTGGTTCATCTTGTCAAGTGACTTTTGGGTCAAGTTGGAAACTGATGGAGATCTCCTGGAAATGTCCCTGGGACTCTTGTGATGTCTCAAGTAAGAGGATGTAAGTATATTTCATTCTGGAAAAAAGTCTTTTAGCTGCCTTAGGACACGAAGGATATCACCTTGTTTTGATCCTTCAGGCTGATGTTACGATTCTATCACAAGTTTTCGGTCGCATCGGTAGCATTTTAGTATGATTTACCGTGCTACTTGCAGATTTCCTATTGCAGTTATAAGGGTACCAGATTCAGACTAGGGTACTGTAGTTGCCTAGTTAGAGAAGAACGCTTTTTCTTGTCGTCGAAGGGTCACATTGCTGGCTCCAAATCTATTAAATACGTCTCTTACTGGAATCAGACCCTTCAACAATCACAAAAACGCAGTTTTTATTGTACAATCAAAGACGACTATAGCCCCTCGCCGTACCTAGCTTTAACAAGAAAAAACCCTTCGAGAAAAGCATTAGTTAGGTTTAGAATAAGTAGTCATCAACTTAGAATTGAAACAGGTAGATACGAAAACATTCCTCGCAATGAAAGGATATGTCACTTTTGTACAAGTAACAAAATCGAAGATGAAAATCATTTCTTACTAGATTGTAAGGCTTATTCTCAGATCAGAGACACATTTTTCTCCAAACTAGAAACTAAAATACCTGACTTCAAATCACTTTCACACGATACTTTAATATCTCTTCTTATGAATTCTTCTGATTATTTAATTAACTGTCAATTAGTTTCATCCATCTCGCAATACTTTGAATTAAGAACCAAATTAATATCAATGAATGAATGAATGAGAGCTGTAACGTTTTGTAATGTTTTGCACGTACTAATTAGTTGAATTAGTACTTAAATTTAGACTAATAGCTTTTGCAATGCTGTAATTCCTTTATGGTCATGTAAATAAAGCTTTTGGTGTTGTTGTTATTAAAAGTCACATAACCTTCGCGTTTTTCATTTATAAGATCACTTTTGCTTGTTGCAGGAACACTTGTAAATGGCGTGAGATTAACATGCACATTCTCCATACTCATTCCTTTACCGTTCATCTGGCGCTAACGAGGAGAATTTGATTAGAAATCACAATGTTTTTCGTTGCTGAGCAGTTTCCTCTATTTTCAGCCTTTTATGATTGATACTGTTCACTGGTGGGATATATAGCGAGAATGTAAATTGATGTTGATCACTGTTAACCGTACAAAAACTGTTTCTTGTGATCACCAACTGAAAGCAAACGCACCGACGGACATTTCAAGTATTTCAATATTATACAAAACTTACAGCTAAAATCAAAATTGCCCGTCGGAAAAACGTGAAAGCGCTAAGTGCTTTTTTAAATGTACGAGTGGTCAGAAAGATACAAGAATCCTAATTAAAAAGAAGCTTTCGCAAAGCCGAGAAGGCTACAGTTTCCATTATGTTTGGTAAACTTTGGTTTGTTTTGGTTCTTGGACCTGTGGGACCTCAGGGACCTCTGGGCCGAAGGTTCATGATGTCATTATTTTCAACAGCCAATCAGGGGCAAGAATTTGATTTGCATATGAATAACATACAAAAAAACCATTGAATTTGTAACCGAGCCGGGATAGCGCAATTGGCATAAGCATTGAATTGGTAATTAACTGGCAAACAAAGAGGTGACGGGTTCGAATCCCGCCTGATTAGCATAAAAAAGGAAAAAAAAAGAACAAAATCGCGGCTTGGTCCTGGGAGGGCTTGGGGCGAGGAGAGGGAAGAAAAAAGGCCTTGGGAAGGGTATGGGAAGCGGGAGTTGGTACACCGGCCCGGGGGCGGGCCGGGAGGAGGGCAGGGAGAGGGGGGCAGGCGGGAGGGGGGTAGGTAGATAGGTAGAGGGGTAGGTAGATAGATAGATAGATAGATAGATAGATAGATAGATAGATAGATAGATAGATAGATAGATAGATAGATAGATAGATAGATAGATAGATAGGTAGATAGGTAGAGGGGTAGGTAGAGGGGGATAGGTAGATAGGTAGAGGGTGGAGGGGTGGGAGGGGGAAGGGAAGGGAAGGGAAGGGGAAAGGGAGGGGGGGGGCTAGCCTGCGAGCAAGGTCTCTTGCTGCCGGGATTGGGGGGAGGGTTGGGTGGGGTGGGGCAGTGAGAGACCTTGCTCGCAGGCTAGACCCGGGGAGGGTTTTGCTGCTCAGCACAATTTTTTTTCTTCTTACTTTTATAAAATTCTTGACTCAAAATAAGCACTTTTAGAAAAGGATGCATTCACGTAAGAAAAAAGCGGGAAAAAAAACGACGTGTGCGAAGAAACAAGCGAAATTTATGATTAAACATTTGTCATTACTTAGGATCAACTTCTCCACACTTTTTCCCACATTTAACTTCGCGAGTTAGTCTACTTATAGTACGTTCCTTTTCTTTAATGCAGTGGATAAACAGACCATGAAGTTCCAAACTGCTCTTCGTCTGAAGTTGGAGAATTTTCTTTATTGGTCATTGACCTTGGGGACATTTAACAGCCTGATTTTAAGACTGGATTGGAAATAGCTTGAATTACGTAACCTTGCCTGCGAAAGAAACACGACCTGATGGAATTACTAATCGTCAATAGGCCGGGCAAACAATGTTTGTTTGGTTCATCTTGTCAAGTGACTTTTGGGTCAAGTTGGAAACTGATGGAGATCTCCTGGAAATGTCCCTGGGACTCTTGTGATGTCTCAAGTAAGAGGATGTAAGTATATTTCATTCTGGAAAAAAGTCTTTTAGCTGCCTTAGGACACGAAGGATATCACCTTGTTTTGATCCTTCAGGCTGATGTTACGATTCTATCACAAGTTTTCGGTCGCATCGGTAGCATTTTAGTATGATTTACTGTGCTACTTGCAGATTTCCTATTGCAGTTATAAGGGTACCAGATTCAGACTAGGGTACTGTAGTTGCCTAGTTAGAGAAGAACGCTTTTTCTTGTCGTCGAAGGGTCACATTGCTGGCTCCAAATCTATTAAATACGTCTCTTACTGGAATCAGACCCTTCAACAATCACAAAAACGCAGTTTTTATTGTACAATCAAAGACGACTATAGCCCCTCGCCGTACCTAGCTTTAACAAGAAAAAACCCTTCGAGAAAAGCATTAGTTAGATTTAGAATGAGTAGTCATCAACTTAGAATTGAAACAGGTAGATACGAAAACATTCCTCGCAATGAAAGGATATGTCACTTTTGTACAAGTAACAAAATCGAAGATGAAAATCATTTCTTACTAGATTGTAAGGCTTATTCTCAGATCAGAGACACATTTTTCTCCAAACTAGAAACTAAAATACCTGACTTCAAATCACTTTCACACGATACTTTAATTAATATTTCTTCTTATGAATTCTTCTGATTATTTAATTAACTGTCAATTAGTTTCATCTATCTCGCAATGCTTTGAATTAAGAACCAAATTAATATCAATGAATGAATGAATGAGAACTGTAACGTTTTGTAATGTTTTGCACGTACTAATTAGTTGAATTAGTACTTAAATTTAGACTAATAGCTTTTGCAATACTGTAATTCCTTTATGGTCATGTAAATAAAGCTTTTGGTGTTGTTGTTATTAAAAGTCACATAACCTTCGCGTTTTTCATTTATAAGATCACTTTTGCTTGTTGCAGGAACACTTGTAAATGGCGTGAGATTAACATGCACATTCTCCATACTCATTCCTTTACCGTTCATCTGGCGCTAAGGAGGTACTGCGGTTTTCCCCTCTCCGCAAAAACCAACATTTCTAAATTGCAATTCGATCCGGAATGCTTGTGCGTTTAATACATGAGCCTCGGGCTCGGGAGACTGGGCAACCACTCCTCATGCTATCGAGCTTAAATAAAATTCATTTAATTTAATTTAATATCCTTATATGCATTTGCAACTCATATTAAGCCACAATTAATCTTCTTTCCACTGGAATAAACAAAGGATGGAGGTATTGCCGCCATTTTGAATTTGTCACGTGGTCGCGCGTCGATCAATCACGGCTGGGTTTTTCGAAGCTGGGTTAAGATAACCCTGCAGGGTTAGTGCGAAATTTGAACTCAGATATGAGAGCTTAAAAAGCAAATTCAGTTTTATTCTCTTTACCTACAATTTGATGATTGGATACTCTAAAAAGAATAGGGAAAATTATCTGAGAGAGTGCTTTTGATAAAAAGAAAAGAATCCCAGGTTAAAATTTAAGCCCGGGTTAGTGCTAACCGGCATTTGAACAACTGGGCCCAGACATTT